AATTTATAACATGAATTTAAAGAATACACAACATCCGGGATTATGTCGGTCTTAATTATACCTTCATGACAACCATTTCAGGGACCCTTCTTCCGATAAAGTTAATCGCTGGACGCAAATATCAATTTCCATGCCATCAGCAAAAAAGCCTGATTTTAAAGGCATAACCGACTGCAGCTACGTGCAAGCATAGTGTGTAGTCTCATGTTTCCTTTTCGCATGGTGTTACTTATTTATCACCCTTAGAAGAAATACAGGCAGGTGACGTGACCAGGAGTCGAACCCGGAGTTTCTGTTATCAGTCTGAGTATTTATACGGCTAACCACCTTTTCTTGATCTATAAATCTACACGTCTATGGAAGTCACCTATGCCTAAAAGACATAAGAGTCATTCCTGATGCTGTTCCGCCATTTAACTCTCATTATGCGTCGAGGCTAAAGCTAGTGGATCAGCTCAACGATCGCTCTTGATCCATCGTTACAACAACTGTCTCCAAGCCATACCACAGCACTGACATGAATAATTTTAATAACGCTGATAATTGCGTCAGTTACTTCATAACACTGTTTTGCTTGTAGTAAACAAGCCTCTTTTTAAACTTCGTCATATCGCAGATGAAAAATTTAAGAGCAAATACAATAATCTAAGCTTGCAGAGAAATGAAGAACCGGCTAACCTGTTTTCAAATCAAAGTATCGTCCTCTAACACTGTTTTCAGGCAACGGAGACCACCAGTTGATTATTGACTTGACAACAGGAACCTTTCGAATCAAACCCTGGAATAAGCAAGATAAAGGTCACTCATCAAGTAGCTGAAAGCAGAAACAAAAGACGAAACAAACCATATTGAGTAACTTGAATTCTGATTCCTTCTTCAGCTCTTGGGATGCCAATTCGATACCTTGCTTCACCCGTTCAGCAAGAGCATCCATGTACTAAAAAAAATTGAAACAGATGTACGTAAACAATTAACAACAAGCATTTCGTCAACAGAGTACCGTGGAGGATTTCTCAATCTTTTCGCCAGTGCATACGACAGCCTCGATCAGGGATGGTAGGTCATTCGCGTCGGAAATCATGCCGCATTTAATGCAGACCTCGCCGTTGTTGAACTTGGCTGAAAGAGCCTTGCTTTATAGCGGGAAGAATGGTATATATTGAACGAAAATGAAATAATGGCATTGGTACATGCAACTGATCAAAGCAAAGGATTTCTCAGCAGGGTGAAGTACGGTGGAGTTCGTTCCTCCGCAGACGCTACAGAAGCCGTGAACCTCGAAACGGTCAGCCAACGAGGCTCTGCGCTGGCGGATTATCAAAAAAAATTCCTGACCGGTGTTTATAACCTACCAGTGGTTGGGAAGCGCTGCCACTGTTCAGCCGGTTGGCAAATGAGCTCTTCCTCGTAACTAAGCCTTTTACTTCACAAGCAGGCACCTGCTCATACTGGAGAAACGTGACTGCTATGACGCGTTCTGTCTCCCTTAGTCCAGGCAAACAAAGTATAAAAGGTGAACCAACGAGAAGAATAATAAGCTCAAATTCCTGCACTAGGGTTTCGGCCACTGGCTCATCAACATGGTGGCCCGAAGGTATTCCTCAGGTTGGTGCCACTGTTCCCTATCTACCACGCCACTGATAATGGTACATAAAATCAAAGAAAAGGGCTTGCTCCATAAATGGCTAGAAGCGATGCCTTCTCGTCAAAATGTACGGTTAGCAAACAGGCCTCTCAAAGACAACTATGATTGCAGCCACTTGTGATGTCCAAGAACACGCAAGTTATTAAAAATCGACTGACAAAGGAAGCATCAGGTTCTGAAACCATAATGTCAGATAGGAATATGTTGCTTTAGTAAACAAACGACGGAAGTTATATGTAATTATTACGTATAACATTACGCTATACGGGCCGTCATAATTTTCTACGCTTTTATGAGCAACGGAAGGCGGAATACTGCTGAGTAAAACGGTGGTGCTGTGAAAACATTAAACATGCTGAGTATGTGAATAGTAATAACGTAAGAAAAAATAATTTTAATCTAATAAAAATACTAAGTAAATAGATACTAGCCCTTCAGAATCTAAACTCCATATCCCATATTCGAAAAGCATGTGATGAAATAAGTCAGTCGGCTAACAATGCCTAACAACGCTCGCTAGGGTTTTGAGGCAGCTCAGCCTGTGAGAATGATGCTTTACTTCCAATCCAAACAGATGGACTGAAAGTCATCATCCGAATTAATCCTGAAGCAACCATCGTAAAATCGTCTGATTACGCCAAGCCGTCGATATACTGAACATAGGAAGGAAAATTGCGAGAATGATGAATGGTAGAACCAAAAGATGCGTGGGAATAGAACGGAACCAGCATTCTTCGCACGATTTTCATCAAAGCAAAAAATCATTGATATGGAACTTTGCGACACCGTGATGAGTAGGGGATAACATTTATCATTTGCCGTGAAGTGATAACTGATAAACGAAAATCTTCAAGAAAAATTGTCCTTTATAAGCAAACAGTAATGTATACCATATCTGGCCACATCATAGATAAGTGACTAGTAATTTGATGTAGCAAGGCGGCAGAACAATATGAACCATTTTATGAACGTGATGCTATTTCGCACTTGTTACCGGCCGTAGATAAATTCCGAACCTCTTAAGTAAGAAGTAACTGCCATTACCGTAAAGCGATGAGCAATGTAACTTATTAAAGGAGACATGATCGCTACAATCTACAAATCGTAGCATACTTCTGGACTGCAACCTTGCCGCTTCTGAAAACATACCTTCGCCATCCTAACACGATAAATATCCGGGTACAGTTTAGCGGGAATGATATGATCATAAACAGTGCCAAAGAGGAATAGAGGAGAGAATATTGACATAACATATAAAGAGCTGAACATAACATTCAACATTGTGTGAAATATTTAGATCGAAGAGTGGGACCTGGTTACTCTCAGTCCAAAGAGACCGAGTTTGCTCTGTGATTATCAATGAAATGTGTTTTATCCTCGATTTTAGATTACAAACACAGCTATCAAACAAGTTTTAGAAATTCAGTACCATACGCCACAGTTTTATCCAAAACCACAAACCACCGATTTACCCAAAGAAAACGCATGGTCCGCCTTTTTTAAATCGTGGATGATTTCCATGTTTATGTAGGAAGCATGGATCTTCTGGTTCTCATTCCACTGTTCACAATCGCGAAGTATTTCCGGCACGTAGCTACGAAAAAGAGCAATAAAAACAGGTAATTATAAATGATGGCTTCATACACGAAACAGCCAACTCCAGCCCACTCTTCAATGGCTACAGACTTGAGCTGGGGGTACTGTCGTACGGAAGCTTCGAACTTCATTCGTGCCCTCAAGGTAGCGTTCAAGATTTTCTATATTGCATACAGAACAAGATAAATACATCAATCTCTGACATAAAACAGTTGATCGCATGATGAGCCAAAAGATGGCGACATGATCTTTGGTCATGTCATTACTTCACTGGATACACGATGGTATTCAGCATTCACTAACAAATGACAAGTGAATCTGAAATCTTACAGTTACACTTCAACAACTGCGCATATACCAGAAAGACACGACTAGTCCAGCTACCCATGTTTGTTGTAAAAATCATATAGTTAAAAACAGAAGTTATTCCTGACCAATAGCCATTAGCCTGCTGAATCAACAGTTCGATAAAAACAAATTTCAGGCTTCATGCTGCACTAAGGGCATGCTAGTGCAAAAAATTATTTTAGGTACATGCGTCCTTAGTAGATGCAAAGGTAACGAAAAAAGATTAGAAACACTAGTCGCATACAAACCACTTACTTCAGCCAGCGATTTTCGTATATTTCAATCGAAACGCGACACACATCAGCCAGAAGGCAAGCACGAAACATGAATGACCAAAAATAATAGTTTGCTAAAAATGAATTTGACGACAGGCGCTTTATTATCAATGGATCGCCAAACAGGTTTCAGTACAACAACGGGCTCAGAGACGAAAATCTGACATTTTAAAGCATAGGCAGATTTGCATTTGGGAATGAATTGCAATCATTACGATACAGCAACTGGTGCTTTATTAGAAAATGTGGAACAGCCGCGAATATAGCTAACAGCACAAACTGGAGACACTATGCGTGTGCAAAGAATTTAAATTAAGGGCAAGTTAGGATCATGCCTGATTATTCTGATGGTGAATAAGAAAAAAGTAATGAACAGAGAAAAAAGAGTTTGCAATCCCAACACGGCCATCATTATTTAACCTTCAGAGGTGTCGTAAATATTTACACATCTCTGCGCGTGTTGTACATGGTCAAAGTGGTGTCGACAGCTAAGTAAATTTGTACCAATAAATCAGACTGCTCTAAGAATTCTGCCCACAATCTTTTTCATTCTACTTTTCATCATTCCTACTTCATACCATGTTTGATTTTTTTTCAAGCTTTATCTCATTTTCGCGTTTATTTTTTATTCGCTTGAAAGTTCGAAAAGATAATCCTCAGTGACCGGTCAAAAGAGCGATTTCAACGTCTTAATATAAAATGAATAGGCTTATAAAATTTTCGACGTTTACGTGAAGCAATTACGCTTAAATTTCAGTTACGTGCGAATTTAAGTTCAGATTTAGCACATAACATGAATTCGCATGCAACTACATTTTACTGCGGGGATGTAGCGGGCACGGTGGCAAATAGGGAGGCTTCGAATGTCAAAAGTAACCCATTCTAATGCAAAGAAGAGGCAATCTTTGCATTAACCGTAAATTCCCTTGAGCAAGGAATTTATCCCTTTTTCTTCGATACAACCAGCTGATAAACTAATAGCAAATCATTGGCAAGTGAATAACACGGGCAGTATGACATTTTGATGTGGCCACACCAGAATGCAAAAACGTACGGCCACGCTGTGCTGTGCGAAAGCCTACTGTGACTGCACCCTTAGTGATACATCAGATACCTAACTATCCACCGTATAATAATCAGCAAAAGGTATAACCTGAAAAGAAACTTATAAAAATTGATAAATTAAAAGTTGAAGTCTGTGCATACTTAAGAAACGTATCGGCATGACATGCAATAGATTTATAGTATATACACATTGATTAATTTACAAAAATAAAAATGCATCTATGCACGTATATTTATCTGTTCGGGCTTTCGTTGTGCGCATTCAGACAGGACGCCAACAGGAGAATAAAGAAATGGAAAGTATGTAACCGTTGGAATGTCAAAATTCCTTGCTCAATGGGATTCTGGGTTAAGAAAACAACTGCTCCTCCCTGGAACCGAATCTGGCACCTCCGGAGTTCTTAGAGGCCGATTTCCTAGAGGTATATCCACCATATGGGTGGTTGGGTGCCAATAACCTCATTAACAACTGGAATAAATTCCAAATAGATTGGTTCATACCACAGCATTTCGTAGACGATCGTCGAAGTGCGTCAAATCCAGCGATTCCACGCCCATAGATCTAAGTTCGATGGGCGAAAACTGTAAAGCCGTTTCCGAACAACTGATCTCTACCGTCTTGAAACCAAAAGAAGGGCACTGCAAAGACAAGAAGTTGCCAAACTAAACTTGAATTTAGTTACATTTGTTATTCGCACGAAAAGTTTTTAAAAAAATATTCAGCGTTACCCATGCGTTGAGGGCTTTCATGTACGACGAATTTTTCAAAGCGTCGAAGTCGTCAAGTTCGTCGCCAGTGCCATTATTTTGCGGTAAATTTGGACAATATTCAAAGATCAAAGTTAACGGTCTGCTGACAGTTTTCGCCTGTGGTCGTGAATAAACAAATTATTCGTTAAACAACAACA